CCAGCCCCAGAGCAGGGGCAGGGGGGACGTGTTCCCGGAGAGGCACCGTGTGTGGCCAGAGCATGTGGCAGGGCCGGAGAATGATCGCCCTGGACAGAGCACCGGCCTCCCTGAGCCCCTCCTGTGCCCTGAGCCAGCTTGGCTTCCTGGAGCCCCTGGGGTGCTCAGGGAGCTGAGACCTGCAGAGCTCAGCACCCCTGCACAGCCCCCTCGGGTGTGCAGGTCCTGACCGGTGCCCTGACAGTTACTGAACTGGATTGTGCCCTAAAACCAGCTGCCTGCACCCCCTCTTCGGAAGCAGCCCAGTCCCTCCCATCTATCTGCGCAGGGACAGACTGAACACCCGGTGACAGGGGACATCTGGGACCCTGGCCTGCAGGGGAGCACCGTGCTGAGGTGCAGGAGCAGGGGTTTTCTCTGGCAGAGGATCCTTCTGGCATGTGCAGGTATGAGAGCAGTGAGAGGCTGGAGATACGTAATGATTCCACCATAACTGAGGGGGAAGGAGGTGTGAGAAGTTCTTGAGAACTACTTATGCAGTAAAAATGATGTCTTCATGTTTCAGCCTGTTTGTCTTGTACTGGTAGGAGGGAAATGTATTTCTGATAACAAGGAAACCCCTTTGCTGCTAAATGCAATGGGAGCTGGCCAAAAATAGAATTACGGGGAGGCCTCGAAGTCCCCTAAAAAACCATCCCCGGGTACACAAAGGATTGTTTCCTATCTCAGAGGACATGCAGATCCCCCTGCACAGACACAAAGTCCAGAATGCTACCAAGAAATGGCTGAATTCTTGGAAGGACATTGCAGTCAACTGGAACAGCTTGAAGATGTCACCTGCTATGGCCTGGGGACAGGTGCCAGCTCCCACATGTCCATGGAGGCACAGACCTTCTGTCAAGGGACTGGCAGATGAAGAGATCTCATGACAAGTGACAGAGAACACTTGTATTTATTCTGATTTCTGCCTCTCATCCCCAAAGCTCACCTGCAGCTTCAGACTTCATTTTTTATGCTCTTTTACAAGCTCTTTCACCACAAAACAACAAATTAACCCCAAACTGCCCAGAAGATCATCCCTACATGTAATCAAGTTATAAAAGACAATTCTTTTTCATGCTGTCCTCTAGAATAGAGGAAAAATGTGCTGACATTCAGCATGGAAGGGAACAGAAACCAATTCTGCCCTTGCAGCCCTGCTGGTTTCAGCTTTACTTACAGTGACAGCAGCTCCCATCAGGCCCTGGACCAGCGCTTCTCCAGTCGACTGCACCTAGAGGACACAAGGACACCACCACCTTCTGCTTTCTGCAGTTACACTTGTGGCCACCCAAACACAGACCTAACACACAACATATCTGCTACAGAAAGGTGCTGACAGAAGCCAAGCTCTGCAGACAAATGATAGCCAGGCACACTCCCAGAGATTTCCTGGGAGTAGATGTCTCCTGAGCATGGGGCCAGTCTGAGAGGGAACTGACACCTCATTTTACTGGAAAATACTACAGCATTTGCTGATGTTGCACCAACTGCATTTGTGCAATCCCCAGCCTGATGGTGGTGTACATGGTTTGTGTGATAGAAAAGCCAGTTCAGGCTGCACATAATCCCAGAATCACAGAATGGTTTGGGTTGGAAAGGACCTTAAAAATCATCCAGTCCAACCCCCCTGCCATGGGCAGGGACACCTCCCACCAACCCAGGTTGCCCCAAGCCCCATCCAACCTGCCCTTCAACACTGCCAGGGAACAGCAGCTCCCATCAGGCCCTGGACCAGCGCTTCTCCAGTCGACTGCACCTAGAGGACACAAGGACACCACCACCTTCTGCTTTCTGCAGTTACACTTGTGGCCACCCAAACACAGACCTAACACACAACATATCGGCTACAGAAAGGTGCTGACAGAAGCCAAGCTCTGCAGACAAATGATAGCCAGGCACACTCCCAGAGATTTCCTGGGAGTAGATGTCTCCTGAGCATGGGGCCAGTCTGAGAGGGAACTGACACCTCATTTTACTGGAAAATACTACAGCATTTGCTGATGTTGCACCAACTGCATTTGTGCAATCCCCAGCCTGATGGTGGTGTACATGGTTTGTGTGATAGAAAAGCCAGTTCAGGCTGCACATAATCCCAGAATCCCAGACAGGTTTGGGTTGGAAAGGACCTTAAAAATCATCCAGTCCAACCCCCCTGCCATGGGCAGGGACACCTCCCACCAGCCCAGGTTGCTCCAAGCCCCATCCAACCTGCCCTTCAACACTGCCAGGGATGGGGCAGCCACAGCTTCCCTGGGCAACCTGGGCCAGGGTCTCACCACGCTCATATGTGTGGATCCTAAGGGATCTGGGGAGCAGGGATGCAATGTGCCCCTCAGGCTCCCCTACCTGGCTCGCTGTGTTGCCCATGTTCATGGCGTCAGCAACGCGGTTTTCCAGGAAGCGCCAAGTGTCCTCGAAGTCAGGGGATGAATCCTGCATCATCACCAGCTCCGTGGTGTTGTAGATGCCAGTGAGCACAGCCCGACGAGTGTACCAGTTAAACTGCCAGGGTGTGACATGACAGAAAGAGAGAAAAAAGTGGGACCTGAGTGCACCTCAGCAGTCAGAACATGAAAGGAGAATTTAAAATGAGTCTTCAGCTTCATGTGCTGCTACTACTGTGATTAAAGTACTCAGGTACCTGGAATAAATCCTAGTTGTTCCACTCAGAATTACAAAGCAACAGAGAAATTAAAACACTGGCCTTGATTTTGAAAACAACAGTTGGCTGGAATGCTCTGCTGTCTGCAGCAGGACCTGCATGCTTTGAGGAGGGGAGAAACAGGAGGGATGTTGCCACCTGCAGCTGCACCTCAGGTGCCTGAGAACAAATTCTGTCTGTTAACTCTCCTCTTGCTCTGATAAAACACCCAAGCTGGTCTGTGAGGCAGGGGCACACCCTCCCCTGCACAGGGAGCAATGATAAACCCCTTGCCTGGGAAAGCAGGAGCAGGCTCAGCACCCCAACTGCCCAGAACTCTTCCTAGCAGGGAGGAGATGCCAACAACAGACAAACCTCAGCACCTCTATCCCCTCCCTGCATCCATGAGGAGACTTCAGGAACAGCTCAGCAGAGACACCACCTTTGACACCTCCATTTGACTTTCATAATGCACAAGAGATCTGCAGTTCCTGACACAATCACAGACTTTCAGTTCTCTTCTGGTTTATTCCTTTAATTTATCTGTCATCTTATTTATTTTTCACTGGAGTAGCTTCCCTTTTATACTCAGATAAAAGAAGCTTATTAAAGTAGTTTGTCGAAATGGTTCATTTAGCTTTTTCCATCTCTCCCTAGATTAATCTCTTAATGATGATTATGATGAATTAAAGTAATGTATTAATTGCTTTAATTAAAGCTGTAATTTTCTTTTATTTCCTGCCAGAAAGATGAAAGCTTTAATAAGCTACTGGCATCTTTAGGTAGGTTCTTAAAAGGTTTTCAAGTCAAATCTGTAAATGCTGCTGGTGGTGGCAGAGAAAGGTGCTCTGACAGAGCTAGGCTGCTCACTCACTGCTGCATCAACTGCTTCATCTTAAAATCTCAGCAATTTTGTTTGTCTCTTCTAAAAAAAGAGCACTTAAGACTCTAGGAAAGCAGGTCCTTTTGATCTGCACTAAACACATTGGCTTTAATTTGCATTTACTCCCACTGGCTCCTTAGTCTCTTTGGAAATGGGACTTTAGCTTCCAAGGACCCTTGGGTGCTCCTGAAAATGTTTTCCTTGTTCAGCAAGAGGCTCATTTCAGGGGCTGTGGCCTGGTGCCTGCTCCAGCCAGCCAGTCTGCCCAGCACAAGGACTTACATCTGTGGACTGGTCTCCAGCATGGTGCCAGATGTCATCGATCATGCTGGTGAGAAGGCTGAGGCTGGTTGGGATGTTGTGTGGGAGCAACAGGATGCTCAGGGCCTGCCAAGGAAGCACAGATACATGGGAGAGTGAGAGGAAGGGGACAGCACCAAAGCAGACCAGCACTGCTTTGCTGTGTTATCTCTTCCCTGTTGCTGCTGACTCTCCCCCAGCTCCCCGTGACAAGTCTTTCCTGCTCTTTCCAGCTAGCACCCATCTTTCCAAGCAGCAGGATTTGTGGGGAAGGTGCTGTGTGGCAGCTGGGCTCAGGCCTCAGCCCATGCTGGAGCCGAGCTCCCAGCTCAGCTCCAGCACCAGGGCTGTCCCTCCTGAGCTGCCTCCCTCTCCAGGCAGGGAAACAGCCCAGGCTGGGCTGACTCACCCCTGAGCTGGGCCCTATAGGCAGGGAGTCAAAGCTCTCCTGTCTCTGAACTTGACTTTGAACTTCAAGTAGCCCCCAAGGACAGAGCAACCGTAATGGCTCTGCTGGGACCCTGCAGCCTTTGAACTTAATAACAGTGCCAGGTGGGTCACAAACCACCCACATCCTTCAGAAGACAGGAACAAACCCAGGAATCCCATCCTGGGTCTGCAGGAAGAGCCGAGTGCAGCTGCCCAGAGGCCAGTGCTGACCCCAGACAACAGCAGCTGACTGGGCAGCCCAAGGTTGGGAACTCTGCTTGTTCCTGAGGCCACAGTCCAAGTCCCTTTCCACCCTGGGAAGAAAGGCCTGAGGCTCAAATCTGAATTTTGAAGCACGGAGCACTCTCAGTTCCCAGGTCTGTCCTCAGGTTGCCAAGGGTCTGTCACTGGCAGCTCCTTGCAGCGGGTCAGCAGTTCTGCCTTTCCAGGTCTTGAACAATACTGGTGTGGGCAGAGGAACACTGCAAGGAGCCTGACTTGCAGTGACACTGCAGAGAGGACACAGGTTATGCCCAGGGGATCCCAGGTGGGTGGAGGTTTGCCTTTCCAGAATGGCAAGAAACAGAACACCTTTAACTGCCACATTCCAAGGCTGCTCTCCTCTCGAGGGGTATGAACCATGTTAAGCCAGCCAAGGTTTCATTTACAACCTTGAACTACTCTGGTAGAGACAACAATGAAGGCTGCAGGGTGTTTAAATTGCACACAAAAAAAAAAGAGACAATCTTGCTACTCATTTGATACCTGGGGCCATTTGTCAATATATGGAATCAGCATCCTCAGCCTGGCTTCCACAGCATCCCTCAGGAATTGATCTGTAGGCTTCTTCCTGGGGGAGGAAACCAAAATAAACACAAAGAACATCCAAGTTAAACTCTGTTCTGACCCTGAAAGATCCCTCTTTTACCTGTCTGAGCAATAGATATCAAACTATAATGTATTCTTTGTGCCTCCAGTCCAAGCCTGTGCCTGGGAAAATATTTTTATTTGGGTAAATTACATTTTTTACTTCATCTGTGTCCTCAGAGACCTCCCTGTCTATCCAGTCTCCAAAGTCCACCAAGGAAGGTGCCTTTTCATGCCCAATACTCACTCAGCTTCACCCAGCTGCACTAGTTTTTGCTCCTGCTCCAGCAGCTCAGACAGTTTGGTGTTGCACTGAGACACGAAGTGCAGGATCAGTTCACTGCCATCGCTGTGAAACATCCCTGCAGCAGCAACAGAGAGACCCAGCGTCTGCAGGGAAGGAGGGAGAAGCACAGACCAGGTCATACACTGCTCCACAGCACCCAGACAGGAAACACGTTGGATTTATTGCATGAACAAATCTAAATGAATTTAAACAAAAGCAACACTGCATTGAAAAGCTTATCCTGTGCATGTTTTGCTCTCTTTAGGATTACTACTCTACATTGTGCCTTGGTTTATCTCTGACAGGGTTATCCTGGAGTAGCTGGGACACGTTCCTGGCTGCTACCATTTGCTGACTAGGGTGCATGGCCCAAGAGTATGTGGGGGAAGCATGCAGGCCTGGCTGTCCTTGGACTTCAGCTCCATCCAGTTTTCCAGTGGTTCATTGCTTCTCTCCCCACATACCTTGGCTCCCTCTGCAATGGCTTCTGCAGTCCAGCCATGTTCAGGCACAAACTCCAGCGCTGCTGTGAGGATTCGATGCTGCAGCTGCTCCTCGCTCTCATAGTCCTCAGACTCCTGGCCGCCCTGGCCAGTGTAACTATGAGAAGGTATTGGTAGAGTGAGGGGAAGGTCACCATCAACCACCAGACACCTGGGCTCTGCCCCTCACTCCCTGCCATGCCTCGAGATATGCTCCCTTGGAATATATTTCACCTCCTCCTGTAAAATCCTTCCCTCTCCAGAAAAAGGATTTTTAATGAACTCTCTGCCATGAGAGGATAAGAGAAAAATAAGGGAGAGGTCAACCTAGGTGCCTGTCTAGAGAGCAATCAGCCTCTGATTCCCCCTCCTTCACAGGAAAGCTAAACTGTATGCTCTTCTGAAGGGGTCTGTACAGTTACAGCCAAATGGACAAGATACCATACATATTTTGCGTAAATTTACACAAAAATCCAGAAGCCAAGGCCTGCGCTTTGCAGGCCAGAGAGGTTCCCTCTTGAACACAAGTCCCATCCTGTCTCCAAGGCAGACAGTTGAATTTGCACGGTCACAGCAAACCAGCTCTCCTGCTGCTGGTTTGTCTGGGGCTCTGTTAGCTCAGGATCTCCCTGTCTCCCAGCTTCAGAAGTGAGTTTTGGGAAAGCAAAGCCTTCCCATCCTGCTGCCGGCAGGACAGCGCTACCAACAGCCAGGGAGTTACCTGGGGCGGGGGCCCTGAGCCTCCCGTTCAGGCTGAGGATCAGCTGCGTGTGAATCCCTCTGCTGCTGAGAGGAAGATGCCCATGGCTCCTTCTGCTCCTCAGAGACTCTCCTGAGCACAGCTGAGGCCTGGAGAAGACGCTGTGGTGGGGAGAGCTGGGACCTGAGCACTGAAAAGGAAACCAGGAGGGTTAGATGCCTCCTTCAGCAAGTCATGGGAAACCAAGGTGAAGAAGAGAGTTGTGGCCAACACAGCTGCAAAGAACAGGAACCCGTGGAGAGTCTTTTTTTACACTTCCCCCCTCTCAGCTGAGCTCATATTTACTTGATTAAAATAAAGGGAAAATGTTTTGTGAGGAAAAGAACGGCACAGCAGTGCAGGTGAAAGGAGTTTCTGGCCTCTGAAGGGGTCTGTACAGTTACAGCCAAATGGACAAGATACCATACATATTTTGCGTAAATTTACACAAAAATCCAGAAGCCAAGGCCTGCGCTTTGCAGGCCAGAGAGGTTCCCTCTTGAACACAAGTCCCATCCTGTCTCCAAGGCAGACAGTTGAATTTGCACGGTCACAGCAAACCAGCTCTCCTGCTGCTGGTTTGTCTGGGGCTCTGTTAGCTCAGGATCTCCCTGTCTCCCAGCTTCAGAAGTGAGTTTTGGGAAAGCAAAGCCTTCCCATCCTGCTGCCGGCAGGACAGCGCTACCAACAGCCAGGGAGTTACCTGGGGCGGGGGCCCTGAGCCTCCCGTTCAGGCTGAGGATCAGCTGCGTGTGAATCCCTCTGCTGCTGAGAGGAAGATGCCCATGGCTCCTTCTGCTCCTCAGAGACTCTCCTGAGCACAGCTGAGGCCTGGAGAAGACGCTGTGGTGGGGAGAGCTGGGACCTGAGCACTGAAAAGGAAACCAGGAGGGTTAGATGCCTCCTTCAGCAAGTCATGGGAAACCAAGGTGAAGAAGAGAGTTGTGGCCAACACAGCTGCAAAGAACAGGAACCCGTGGAGAGTCTTTTTTTACACTTCCCCCCTCTCAGCTGAGCTCATATTTACTTGATTAAAATAAAGGGAAAATGTTTTGTGAGGAAAAGAACGGCACAGCAGTGCAGGTGAAAGGAGTTTCCGGCCTCGGCCCGGGAACGGGGCAGACGCACCCGCGGTCCCTGCGGCTCCCGGGGGCACCGGCCCGGGCTGGGCCAGGGCACGAGTGATACTCCAGGGTCACAACAGATCAGCAGACACGCTCCTCAGATGACTCAGAAGCAACGCACCTTCCATTACAGCTACTCTGTGAGAAACTTTAGTTTAACCGCAGCGAGGTTTGGGGTTTTTAAATAAGCTAGAGCTGCACGGCTCCCTCTGCTAACAAATCCTCCCCCGAAAGCGCTGCCCGGCCCGGGCTGGAGCGGTTCCAGGGCCGAGCGAGGGGCCGGCCGGGCCGAGGGGCCCTCCTCCACCCGGGGCGCGC